ATGTATACAGACACACACACCACACACACAGTGGCTTGGCTTATGCTATTATGGCTACTTACATCATGAGTTAAACTGAATCTTTATGGGATGCACCCTAGTAACTTAGTGCCTTATAAAATAACACTCAGAGAAGAAATGCGTTCTGAATTTCCACAGGTCAACTTGATAAAGTTTTGGAACAAAGTCAATTTATAAACTGGGGTTGGCAGCAGAATTCTAAGAGTGCTCCCAATTCTTGCCCCTTGTAAACATTTCCTGCATAATCCCCCTTTAAGTGTAGGTGTGACCCTCGGAATACGATGGGCCATCCTGTGATTAGGACACAAAGGGCCCTTCCTTAAGTTAGAGGCCAGAAATCAGAGTGACGTGCTCCCGATGCCTCCAATCAGCAAGCAGCAAACTGCCATGCTGTGAACCACCAAGGGGGGCACATGGCCAGGAACTGAAGGCGAACTCAAAGCTGAGAACAGTTCCTGGCCAATAGGCAACAGGAAAACAGGAATCTCTTTCACACAGCTACAAGGAAATCAATTCTGCCAACAATCAATGAGCTTGGAAAAGGACCCAAGCCTCCGGTGAGATCACAGCCCGCTCTGACACCTTGATTTCAGCCTGGTGAGACCCTAGCTCTGCTACCTAGCTACACTAGGATCGAGCTACACCGTATCCAGACTTCTGGCCTTGTGAAAGTGTGAGCTTAGTGAGTACTGTTTTAAGTTGCTAAGTTTGTAGCAATTTGCTATGCAGAAATACAAAATTAATGCAAGGCAGACTACAGCTAAATGTATCTATATTACTTATAATTGTGACCCTGAGCTTATAACAGATACTGTTTTATAAAATAAATTACATCAGAATATTCTGTGCCCACAGTGTCCAGATTATATCATTCTATTAGCAATCTCAGTATTTTAAACTTTTCATATATTTAACTATAAAGGGTGCATTCTTTACACATAAACTGTTTATTGCCTTGACATAATAATAGCATTTCTATGTGCTAACATATACTTACCTAACAAAAAAGCCAAGCACTTACATGAGTTTGTAGTTGAAAAAGTTGATCGACTTTGCTAAAAGGCCATGAAATTAGCATATAAAGCCATCTATTTTTAAATGTATCCAGAAAAGTATTAGTTACTTATTATAATGAAACACAGATGATTTCAACTTTCCCCTCAGGTAATACTCAATATTCCCAACAAAATGACAAGAATCTGGTTTTGCTGAAAAAAGAATAAATTGTTTTTATCTTCCCCAAATGAAACAAAACTGAAACCAGACAGAAGTTATGTGCAAACGGCAGAAAACTGTCACAGAACCTCATTCACCCCCAAGCTTTCAACAGACACCTTCCTCACCACAACTCAAACTCCTCCTCTGGCCCCAACTATTTCCTGAACTCCAAAACCTATTTCTACCTACCTACAGAAATGTCGAGTTTATGTGTCATATTCCCAACGAAGTTTATGATCATCACCGAGAAGTTTGTGTCTATATTCCTTATGTTATTAATGGCACCATGGGCAGAACAGTTACGCAAAACAGAAACCCAGTGATTCTCCTTAATAGCACACACCCCACCCCTGAACATATACACACGCAGCCCTCCCTGTGTTTAGGATCTAGTGACTGTCTCAGACAACTGGTGAGAAGCAGCTCTTTTCTTTGCTAACTGAATCTTCTAGGAGGGATTTGGGTTCACTGAGACCAGACACCTTGTCTCAGAGGTACAGACCTTCTCTCAGAGGCACAAGGTCATGATCAACTTGCTGCAAAGGCCTTTTCTATATATATATATTTTTTGAGATGGAGTCTCACTGCAACCTGCGCCTCCTGGGTTCAAGCAATTCTCCAGCCTCCTGAGTAGCTGGGATTATAGGTGTGTGCCATCACGCCCAGCCAATTTCTGTATTTTTAGTAGAGAAGGAATTTCACCATGTTGGCCAGGCTAATCTTGAACTTCTGACCTCAGGTGATCTGCCTGCCTCGGCCTCCCAAAGTATTGTGATTACAGGCATGAGCCACCGCACCCAGCCTGGAAAGGCCTTTTCTAAAAAGGAACAAGGGCACTGGCCTTGGACTGCCTTTAAGACCATCCCAGATGTAATCTAAATGAAACTCTGAATCACTTCTCAATTATGACTCTCCAGGACTGTGAGAAGCAAGATTAAATAGATCAACTTTGCTATACTAACATAAAAAGTTATACTAATTAAATAGATTAACTTTGCTATACTAACATAAAAAGTATTAAATTAGGACATCTTACGGACTCATGTTAATGTAAAAAGAAAAAAAAAAACCCCAATAAAGCAAAGTCATGAATAAAAGCCCTAGATTTATAAATGTGCCCTTTGAGCACATCTACGCAGCATTCTCACTTCTGCTGCTCATTCAACTAGCATTCTCCCCTCTGCTGAGGCTTCCAAGAATCTAACTCAGTGCTTGCTTTAGAACAATAGCTTTCTTTAGATGTGTCCAAACCGACTGGCAACATTGGTAATGTTTTGAGAATGGTGGTGGCCCCCATCCCTAGTGGAGCTTTCTAAAGGAATATGCACAGGCAGCTGGAAAACATTCCTCACCTGACCTCCGCCAAAAGATCCTGGCCTCTTCCCTTTCCTGTGCTACTCCCTCTACCACACAGCTTTAGATAATCTACACCTTGAGAAACAAAAGCAAAGAAGATGTGGAAAGCAGAAATACTTCAGGGGAGCTGAGGCAGTGTGGACTCTCACACAGGGCTGTCCTCAACTTCTGCCCCTTCCTGCAACTTCACTTCCTCCACTTTCCATGGGGTCTTATAGTAAGGGGCTTAGCGCTCTAGAAAGGCACTGGGAGCCTTGTTGGGGAGCATTAGGAGGTGAGCACAGATGAGAAAGGAGGTAAACTACCTAAAACTTGCCTCCTGGCTGCCCTGAAAAGAATGAGGGACACTGGTTCTAAGACATGGGGCCCCTGCTCACAAATCAGAATCTGGGTATCACCTCACAGTTCAGCTATTCTGCCACAGTCATAGCGCCATCACCAAGAGCAGCTCTGCTGCTGTAACAAACACCTTCTGAAACTAAACTGAATCATTTTTAAGTTGGGAACTGTCAGAGTTAGCATTTCAGTCACTGATTTCTGGGAAGCAACAAGTAATAAGATGAATAAAGGTAATGACCCCGGACTGACATTTAAATTAAACTTTGCTTCATGATTAAAGTCCTAATTTAAAAACAAAATGAAATTTCTATTCCATTTAGACCAAAAAAAACAAAACAAAAAAACCAAAAAAAAAAAAACAAAACAACCTACTCTTTGAAGGAAGTTCCTATAAACAAAGTAGTCTATCTAAATGAGATTAACAGTTAATTCTAGATTAATTTATTCTCATGTTACTCTAGACTGGTTTAAATTATATTTCAGAATCTGCAGTCTTCACGAAGAAAAAATTTAATTCAGTCTCAGAAAGGATAGATTCATCAGTCATTTCTATTTTGATTCCTTGACACATGAAATGGATCTTGTGTCTTTTCTGTTACTGGGAAGCTTTGGGCAAATTTCAATTAAGATATCTGCAGACCTACAACCTCCTAAAGATGTTTATCTTAAATATTATTGAGACAGAATTTTATTAATG